ACTTGAAGTTTTTCATTGCCTACATCAGTGACTTCAACATATATGTTTCAATCCCAAGAATTTCACTCGCTGTTAATTGCATGGGAGTGCCAGTCTTTCATGAATTTCTATTGTCATGTCAATTTCTTGCGATTACTCGGAACATGAAGCTGTACCCACAGACCGTCTAGGTGCTGTAACTAAAACCTGGTGTAAGCAATGGTTAGGCAGTCTTGAACTATGCATGTGACACCACCTGAGAGGTCTAATATTCAATTCTATATATAGATTTCTCATTGTTTGGTAACTATTTGCTACATATGCAACAAAAATCAATATAAAAATATGACCCACACAGCATTCTACAGGTTACTTGTTATTCCAGTATTTTATATGCCAAACGTTATTCCCAAGCCTCTGAAATGACGAAATAAACTTTTGATTTACACGTTTCATAACCAGTTCTTGAACTGATAGCAGGACTGTTTTTCTGGCAAAGTGTGACACCTTGCGACCGCTAGTTTTTCACCAAAGTCAGGACACAAAAGGATAAATCAAAGTTCATAATAAATACCACAAGCACAGTTTCTTGCCCTTGAGATAGAATTTAATCTATATAAGCCTTGTGCAAAGAAAGATACAGTCCTGGAATACAATATCCTCAGACAACAAGACATGAAATGTCACAGTCCCCGTTATTTGATTGTAAAGTAGTACAAGGAACATCTGCAAACAGGTGAATAAATATGTACTCTTTGTGGGTACAACTCATCATAAAGTGATTTCCCATAATCTAGTTTTGTACTGACAACTAAAAACTTCCACTGACCCATGTTCAGAATCTCAGAGTACACAAGTGCAACAAAACTATTTGTCATACATGTATACTTGCTCAAGAAACTGCATTCATAAATCTGAGTGAAGTTTGTGAACCTTGTTGTACATGACTTCTTTATTAATCAGGTCTTGGTATATTACCAGGACCTGGGTTTGTTTCAACATCACCACTGGGCATCAGAATCATTCTCGTGTTGTCAAATACAATTTGTTATTAATACAGTAAGGTTTATTATTTAAAATGTATTCATTGTACATAGAAGAACATCTGTTAATTTAAACAATTGTAAAAGCTATGTTTTCAGAGCAAGTACATGTAATAATTAAGGAAGCCAGTAAAGATTGGTCTACTCATAACCTTCTAGTAATGGAGAAGTAACAATAATTATTTGAAGTCTTTTTAGTGCAGTGATATTATTGCATTTCAATCATTATTAATGGGTATAAAATACTGTAAACCATTTAATTTTCACTTCTAGATATATACAGGATTCTAATGTTGATCAGGCTAACTAATTGACAATGGCCCTAAAGGTATCACTATGCAATCACAGTAGTTTTGTATTCTTCTTGCTATTCGACCATGGAAAAATATTTGTTTTTGAGAGTGGCCTAATTATTAGAAGAAAAACAGAAATAGTATAAATTCTAGTAACTGAAATGCAGGATTGGAAAAGAACAAGACAATACACAAGATTGATAAACCTTCAGCGAGCACTCCTGAAATTTCAGATCATTGGTACCATGTTTTTGGATACATTCAATGACCTGATACATAAAACCACAATTTTTATTGCTCAATCACTTGACAGTGTATGACACAAGATCGCAAGCTTCTATCATAAAATTGGGTTATTTATTTGATGTAACGAAACATGCATTTCACAGCAGACGGGAATTCGTTTGAGATGTTACTGGATTTTTGTATTCAGTTTTCCATTTTAACCACCATCATCACTTAGTAAGCTGAGATCGCGCATGGGGATACTGACTGTGCATAAATGCACAGTGTAGTGCCACCAGAAAACCAATTGCTTGAGAATATTTTGCACCATTACGCCATTTCAAATATTATATTAATTCACAGACAACAAAATAAAGATTTTCAATAACATACAAGTTTTCCCACAGTTGATGATTGTATGGCAATTACATGCCTTCGCCAGTTTTACTTTGGAAGACGTTGGAAACATATCATTTTTTGAATGATTTTTTAATTTTTTTTTTGCAAATGTCTATTTCAGAGCAACAGAAACAAAAACAATAAATGTGTTAGGTAGGCATTTTAACAATTGCACAATTAATATTGAATGAAAACGTCGTTACCGATATAAATCATTCTGTTCAAACAATTAAAAATAAGATCACATTTAATTAATCGGTTTTCATTATGAAATACATAATAACATGTATGTAGTTATAAATTTGAATAAGGTTTAACAGCTTTTTAATTTAGTGCCAGTTTATACACCATAAAACCTCTGGTTTAGGTGTCACACTCAGAGAAGAGTGAAAGGCCTTTGGTTCATAGGCATGAGGCATCGCGAAATGTTGGAATTGAATCCCCCCCCCCCCCAAAAAAAAATTCACATAATGTAATATGCATTATTTTTTTATAATTTTGTTGATAACGAAAAGTAAAGTATGTTCATAAATAAGTTTCGAATAAATACAAACACTAATACATTGCTTAGTGGTTAGTACCGTACTGGTAGCAAATGATCACTGTAGCACAATCCGGTCATTCTGTGTTTCGCAAGTGAATAACTTACTTGTTTACGAAGTATTGAAATTGTTGATTATTATTCAGTAATGATTATAATAACGCACAAAAATGTAATTCGTTGAATTTTTATGAATTGGAAGTATGATTTCGGTCGAACGTAAATGCTCGATGTGATACGATATCCGCCATGTTTTCAACACGCGTGGCTCATTTAAATATGTTAATGACGATTCAGTGATCTCGTGGTGAACGCAACGCGGTACTGTAGAGATTCACCGATGTTGTAGCAAGATCTTTATGCTTTGATTTTGACGGGGAAAACAGCACGATTTTTTTTTTAAATCAAACAATTAGTTGTTTTTAACAACTAAACTGAGCATTCAAAGAATTATTTAACATTGTTCACAGAAATAACAGCTCATTGTCGAAACGAAGCTTACCCATTCACGCTATTTACAATAACATCATACTCTTGAATAGGTGTCAATGACTACAGTCAAATATAAATTAGACTGTTAGGTATTAAAAAAAAACACTAAAAAACTGCCGAAAAAACGCAGGGCGATTTCATGGTCCGTTGCAGACTATACTCGACCGACCGTCTATACACATGTTGTCACAGAACATCCGCCATGCTGAATCGCACGAAATCTGCAAAATCTTCATTGCAACTAACAGTTTAATGCTCACAACATAAAAGATAGTTGAACTCTGGTGACCTTGCCCTTTGTTATATAATATAATTCCCTTTATCATAGTTTGATTCAATATAAATATGCATTGTCATAATTAATTTTGAATACAAACAAGTTTTGGGGTTGAACCAACAGTGGGGAATCAGTCTACCGAATGTCCTTAAAAGATGTAAATATCTTACAAAAACATTGGTGCCTTATTTGTTTAATTATTTTAAGGGACATAATTTCCAGTTTTATTCAAAGTAATTCAGATATTTTAGTATAATAACAAATATCTCATTGCAAAAAAAAAGTGCTGCATTTAGATGTGAATAGATTCATAAAACATGCAAGATAACAGAAAATTTTAGATGGCTTTAGTTCAAGTATTTTGTACACTTGTCTGTCAAAAATTAATGATTAACTGAGACAAATATGAACTGCCTCATTTGTGTGACTACTGTATTATATGAAAAGTAAAAAAAAAACACCTTTTATGAATAGCTATCATGTTGCAAGCTCTGCTTTATATGCAAATCAACTTAAATAGTTAGTTGGTGTCCAGTGGAGGGAGAAGTCAACAGTACTGTTGCCTCCTGAGAATCTACATCTTCAAACACTGCAATCTCTGAAGTGCATTTTTAAACTAGTATTATAAAAACTATCATTATGTTCTAATAGCTGAAACATATTCCTGTGAGTTTTCATTTGTCGAATGAACTGTTTGTCAAATACAGAATACATATATTTTAGAATAATTTTCTTTTTAAAATGTGGATGAAATGTTTTGCTTAATGTATTTTTTATGTATTGTTTTTGATTTGATAACTTTTGACTAAACAGATTTTCTATTAGCTTCAGATCTTGATCAAAGTTAGGCACCCAGTTCATAGGAGTGCTTATATTGATTTTCTGACATCTTGTTTTCTGTAAAGATGTTATTGGTAGGTTTGCAAATGTGCATCAGACTGTGCAATCTCTCCATGAGTTGGTTTTGAAACCCAGTATGGGATTCTGGTATACATTACCAAGGATATTATTACAAGATAAATCATTTGCTTCATTGAACACATACAACAATGCATATTTCCACTGAGATCAGTGACCTTTGATGTGTATCACCAGTTATCAGTCAAGTAGAAACAGTCAAAATATTTTATTTGCTTTTTTGACTTTTCACAAGAATATAAAGCTGGCAATCATAATATTCACGTCCGTACGTCACGGAATGTACACCAATCGTACCCCAATATACATTCAATTTTGCTGAAACTGGAGAACTTACCTTTGCAAACACGTCTCTTATGCCGCTTTCTTGAAGTTCTTGAAATCAAATAAAGTTACTAGTTCTTCTAGTAACTAGAATGAGACCACTGAGCCGAACAGAATACATGTATAAACAGTACTACATGTATAATAAATTGCACGCAATGGAGAAATCACGTGCCGTAATAACAGCAGCGTTACTCACAGATTTAATCTACTGTAAAATATTTTATTTCAGCTGAAATATTATCATTCGCTGAAAAGACTTTTTCTGGGTGTTTTGTAATGAACTTATTTTCATTGATTTTTGACAAGTTGACTGTAAAATATAAGAAAAGGGTATATTCGCTGGATGTTATTTTAATTGAAACATTCCTTCAGCGAAAATAGCAAAAAAATATTGCAAGCAAAAATAAAGTATTTTACAGTAATTAATTTATTCTGAGCATGCGCAGAAGTTCTGTCAATGTTGCCGAGAGAGGTAATTTTTGATGAAAATCGTGAAAAAGACTCACTTGGGATTTTCAGATCTGGAAAAAAAATTATGTGCATACTCAGCAGAGACTTGTTCATCAACCAGCCAAGTTTCACTGATATCTGCTGTAGAATTTCTGGGAAAATGTTGGAGAAAGAAAATGGAATATGGAAAACTGAAACCGGAAAATGGACATATGACATAACCTGAATTATAAGTTCCCTTTTCAGGCTGTGCCTGAACGGGGACTAAAAATAACGCTTATTTCCTCAGCGGTTAGACTGGCGCAATACGGTATTGCCATTTCTCTTGCGAGATGTCGTTAAAACTCAAATTTTTCCGGCAAATTTCGGCAGTTTTACTAGTAAAATGATGAAAATCACAGAAAAACACAGTGAAATGTATGGCATTGAGAATTATGAGCTTCCCTCATTGTAGTTTAGAGTGTAGTGACTGACGTCATAACTGGCCAACATCTCCAGTATTTAACGATACATGTCGTTTGATATTGACAGATCGCAGTGTGTCGAGGAATAATTTAAAATGGCTGACCTGTCGGTATCTATAGAGGCGTGGTTTTACGCTGGCATGTCAGCCATTTTGAATCTTTCCCAGAAAACCCCAAGATCTATCGAAACCATGCGGGCATCAAAGGTGGTGACTATTCGCCCGCGGCTGTGCGAATAAAAGATTTACTTCCACAATTCGCCATGCGGCTGTGCGAATAACCCATTTATTTCCACTATTCATCCTCTTGACCCAGTTTTGCGTGAGACTGTACACGAAATTATTGGAACTGCGCCCAATCCTTATTTCAGAATGACATAAAACCAGAGTTAGCTTGTTTTTTGAAAGTTGTATTTTGTAAGCATTTCAAAATCTAACCAATCTCACTCTTGTCCAAGACCCTCCTTTCTCGGTTAACCAAAATGTTTGCATGTGTACATCACTGAAGTGTACGCAAATTTATCGGGATATTTTTCCTTTCGTCGAAAAAACTGGAACCCGGTAAGAAGCTGAGAGAAAAGAACATTGTAACGAACAGACTTACCATGCCACAATAGAGGACTAATGTGATTGGCTATATATACTCAATTTCATAATAGGTGATTCCATTGGTTGATTTGATAGCTGGACGAATTGATAGTGGAAATAGATCTGTTATTCGCGAATAGCCTTTTCGGGCATCAAAATATTGTTTTTATCAGAAACTGTCCAAAATCCATTGAAAAACGAAGACACAAGTCCAAGTTGCCGTCGAGTGACTAATAGCATGTAATCTTCGCTTGACGGTATTTTGTTGGGCCGAAATTTATTTTGTTTTCCGGCCTGGTCTTACCGAGACCGGCGTTGTGAAATAAACACTCACAACTTTTGCCGTAAATATGGTCTGGCCTATACACCGACGCTGACGTGTATAATGACAGACGAAGCCTATTTGGACCTAGAGCAACGCGAAACTATGGAAACGATTATATTAGCACTGACTTTATTAGTTTCACAGTACTCAGCATCGTTTATAGTGTGCACTGGCGGCCATCTTGGATTTATAAACGGCACGTACTTAATTGCGGAATTTCAGTTCCTCAAACATATTAACAGCTAATCAGAATTCAAACGAACTAACCAAACACTTACTGAGTGCCAATTTTGGTCCGCTTACTGTCACTGCACGGGTGCCAGCACTAGCCATTTTACCAACGAAGCCTGACATGTTGAAACCTCGGGATCGAAGCCACTGGTGAACCAAAAGACACGTTGCGCATGCGTGACCGTTTGACCCGGAACTGTTAAGGTAGAAGCCTACTCATAAATTCAAAAACCCAGAATTTATTCATTTTGCAACAAATTGTACTTCAAGGCAATATAAGATTATTGACCTAAAACAAGTTTGGGGTCACCAGCCTTTTTTTCGAGAAATTGATGGTTGTATTTTAGTGGAAAGTCGCCATTGTCACAGTATTATAACACTTTTACCACGGGTTCCTATGGCAGAGATATTATGCAATATCTCAAAATCTAGCCTGGTGACATAGGCTGAAAAAAATAATATATTGTTAATGATGGAGTACTTTTTGTACTTTTTGAATTATTTAGAAAATCTGGGTTTTAAAAAGTGTCAAAAATGCATTTTTTTCTTTATCATTGTGTTCTATGGAATTGTTCTAAAAATAGCAATTTTCAAGAAATATTAGGACATGTTTCTCAAAAAGCATAACTGTAACACACAAAATAATGCTATTTCATTGTACCATGAGACATTAGCTTCATGATTGTACATAATAAACTAATGAACATTATCGTGCGATTTATATGACCAATTTTGTCAAAAATAATGACTAGGCTTCTACCTTAATTTTCACAATATTTTATTGACACAACACAATAGAGTAGTATTATCTTAAAAATTAAAACTAAGACATAAAAGAGCACAACACGGCTTGGAAAGATAAAACCACAAAGTAAAAAAAGTTAAATATTTTCGAAGAAATAACATTTTTTGACACAACAAACAATATACAATATTGTGCCGAACAAGATTTGTGCGGGGAGTTAGCAAACTATCGATGTACTTTCCTATTGGCAAATGATATAATGTTATGATGAAAACGATTTGTTACGTTTTGTGACAATCTCACTTCTCCTGCACCACTTGATTTTGAACTACTAATCAGCTGACATGTATAAAATTATTTAAAAACATGTATAGTAAAATTAAGTAAATAGGAACATGTAAAAACAGAACCATTTAACTCCAAGGTTGGTGTCAAAAAAGGCTGTAATCTCAATCCAACTCTGTTTAACCTTTTTCGAAATGTCCTTCACAACACTTCAATTATGATCCTTCAATTCTTGAAAATTCGCCTGCCAACTACCTACTTTATGCTGATGACCTTGTCCTTCTTTCTAGAACAAAGCATAGACTCTATTTATGTCTGGATAACTTGTCATTGTAAACCCATAAAAAAGTATTGGTTGTTCACAAATCAAACAGATGTCTGAAAAGTGACACTTTCATTCTAAGGGAAAGTGAAATTGTGACAGTCAAAACATTTAATTATCTGGGCTTCATAATCAGTACAAATGGAAAATTTAAAGAAGCTCTAAGGCACCTTACAAGAAAGACTCAAAAGCACTGTTTTCTCTCAAAACTAAATTAGGCGCAATACAATATTTGTCCATCGACACCTTGTCACTATCATTCTTTTACAAATTGATACGATCGATACTTGTTTATGGTAGTGATGTGTGGGCTGACGAGTTCTCATCCAAATCACATTAAATCATCTGAGTCTCTCAAAGAACCCAAATTATTATTTACAGCGAGTTAATGAGATTATATTTGAATATATAATTTATTAAAAATCAATTAATAAAATATTACAACCGCATTAAATACTAAAAATGTTTTTCTTACAAAATAAAGAAGCTTTTCAGTTAATTAATAAAAGCCTAAATCAAGTAACTACTGGTGGTATTTTATTTGTATTTATTATTCGACTGTAATATGATTGTATTAGTGATATCTTGATGAATATATCTAATGGGCATATGTCGAGTTCTCCGTAAATGCCCATTTAAATTGGAAGTATTTTTTTTTGAGACGCAAAGTATAAACCTGCATTAGTTTAGGTGTCCTCGACAGCAGATTTGTAACTACTTTCATCTCGCAGATATCGTTGCCATAAACTAATAATGGTCTCATCAGCCTGATCAGACCAGTGGCCTGACATTTTAGTCTCTTAATGAATTTATCTAATTGGTATATGTCGAGAGTTCTCCGGCAATTGTTGGGGGTATTTTTTGGGGGATGCCAAGTATAAACCGACAGTAGTCATGGTTTAGGTGTACATCGTCGCTTATTTAAACCGACAGTAGTCATGGTTTAGGTGTACATCCTCGCTTATTTAAACCGACAGTAGTCATGGTTTAGGTGTACATCCTCGCTTATTTAAACCGACAGTAGTCATGGTTTAGGTGTACATCCTCGCTTATTTAAACCGACAGTAGTCATGGTTTAGGTGTACATCCTCGCTTATTTAAACCGACAGTAGTCATGGTTTAGGTGTACATCCTCGCTTATTTAAACCGACAGTAGTCATGGTTTAGGTGTACATCCTCGCTTATTTAAACCGACAGTAGTCATGGTTTAGGTGTACATCCTCGCTTATTTAAACCGACAGTAGTCATGGTTTAGGTGTACATCCTCGCTTATTTAAACCGACAGTAGTCATGGTTTAGGTGTACATCCTCGCTAGCCTTTCAACAAATGTAGATACGCTCGAGGTTATTACAACTTAAATTGTCTTTACGGTTAGTAACCGTCAGTGTTGTCTTCAATAATAGTTCTGTATGTACGTAATGTATGTATTTTGGTAGTTCCTTTATTATTTAATGTATTTTTGATATTAGTACATTTCAACTTTTCTTTAATCTAATAATTAGATTTTTGTTATTGGTCATATTTTCGTCCCAAGTATCAGCTATTATAAGATATAATGTCAGATCATTGATCCGAGTGGTACTAGTAAGTATGTTCTTACGATAAATGTGAATTATAAACAGTTTATGTCCGATGAGATATAGCAATGATGTACGATCAACAAAACCTGGAAAATAATAACATTATGATTGAGGGCTTATAATACATAACATATGGCATTTTTTTTTTTTTAAATATTAACATGCATTATTCAAATATTCAATATGTGTAAATTCCATGCATTCATGTTTAGAGCCCCGTGATCTAGTCTGATCTGATTGCCGCATTACTACACTACAAATCTGGGAAGCACTTTCATGTTTTTGAATAAAACACGTATTGTATTTTAAAAGACATTATTATACACCTGTCACCGTAATGCCATAAGTTACAGCGTGCCGTAATTTTGCGGTATTTTACTACTATATTAGGAGGTGCGAATTCCAAATATGGAATAATTACGCGCGTAAGCGTCCTTAATAATAAAAACAAACATGGCTACTACCAGGATTTGAACGGACTCCATAGAAAGAAGTTCGCTAATTCTGTTCTAAACTTTTTGGATTTCGGCATTCCCATGATGTATCCTTGGAAGGAAAAGATGTATAATAATAATAAGGTTATTACGAAGATACCTCAAACTATGCACTCAGACAGTACGCTGTCGCATCGACCTCCGCTGCGCGTCGGTCGATACTGCCGCTGTATGAGGTATCTTCATAATAATAATAATAATAACTTTATTGAAATCGTATCCACAATGGGGCATTGATACATACAATAAAGGTAATGTGTATAAAAATAATGACAAAACAAAATTACAGATATAACTAAAACTACTAAAATACATAACAGTTAGAGAAAAGAAGATAATTTATAAAGACATGTATAGTACAAAAAGAAAATAGTATTTCTTTGTTATGAGGCAGCTGGTAATTTTTTTTTAAACTGTCTTCCCTCATAATAAAGCACTGGTAAATATATTTACAGGTTTGGGTAAGCCAAGGTCAGAGGTTAGTCACTCCAAAATGATGGCTGACAGAGAAAGTTGTGCGTGAAGCTCCGTGAAAGTCGTCTGCTTTACTGCCATCGAGCACTCCTAATCCTGACTGGTTGAAAGTCTCAGAATTGTGTTGGTTGCTGGGTCAATCTATAAATACGGTGAGAATAACGTTTCTTGCAATTTGCTGTGTTTTATATGTGCTGTAACTTTCCCTGCTGCTCGATAAAAGTGCCTATAATAATAATAATAATAATAATAATAACTTTATTGCATCCTTAGAATTACAAATGTTCTATTGGTTTACAGCAATAAATATATAAGTGATTAAAAAAAATCAAAGTACGATAACGTAAAAAATAGAAAAAAAGAGTCAAGGTATTATATCCAAAAAAAGCTCATTTCTTAAAATGAATGATTTATGTAAAAATTCCCCTAAAAGTTTTATTATATTTCTGTCATTACTTTTCATTAAATATGTGAATTTTTGCAGGTTGGTAATGATTTCTTTGGGGAATAAAATATTGGAAATAAAATCATTTCTA